TATATATATACATATACATACATATATATATATATATACACATACATGTATATGTATTCATATATATTTACATATATATATTTATGTGTGTGTATATGTATATATATATATATATATATATATATATATATATATATGTGCGTGTGTGTATATGTACACAAGGTTCATGTTAAAATTACAAAACATCACACTGTGCTGTAATCTTTGAAACTGCTTTTACAATAAGATACAGACTTGAAAACAATTAGATTAAATTTTGTCCTTAAATTTTAAAGATTTGTCTTTCATTAAATTTAAAAACATGAATGTATTACTTGTTAATGTAAAAAAGTTAAGTCTGGTCCTCTGGACATTCACAAAACAAAGAATACAGTTTACAATAAATAAACAATAAATGTTTTTTGTTTGTTTGTTTTGTTTTTTGAATGTCCAGAGGACCAGACTTAACTTTTTTAGATTAATAAGTAATACATTTATGTTTTTAAATTTAATGAAAGACAAAACTTTAAAATTTAAGGACAAAATTTAATCTAATTGTTTTCAAGTCGCAGGCAGCACGGTGGCGCAACTGGTAGAGCTGCTGCCTCTCAGCGAGCAGGTCCCTGGTTCAAACCCCGGTCCAGGGGCCTTTCTGGATGGAGTTTGCATGTTCTCTCCGTGCATGCGTGGGTTTTCTCCGGGTGCTCCGGTTTCCTCCCACAGTCCAAAAACATGCATGTTGGGCTGATTGGTAACTCTAAATTGTCCCTAGGTGTGAGTGAGAGAGTGAATGGTTGTTTGTCTCGTTTGTCTCTATGTGTCCCTGTGATGGACTTGCGTCCCGTCCAGGGTGTACCCCGCCCCTCGCACAGTGATTGCTGGACATGGGCACCAGCGACCCCCGTGACCCAAAATGGAATAAGCGGGTAAAGATAATGGATGAATGGATGTTTTCAAGTCTGTATCTTATTGTAAAAGCAGTTTCAAAGATTACAGCACAGTGTGATGTTTTGCAATTTTAACATGAACCTTGTGCGTATCTGTAAATAATAAAAGTGAAGATATTTTTAATACATCTTTATTGTAAAAATCTATACTAAAATGGAAAACACATGGATTTAAAGCAGCAGGGAAGGCAGTAAGGTAGGATTATGAATCAGGTTTAAATGTTACAGCCATGAGGTACTCCATTAGAGCATGACATCTCTTCCACAACATCTTGTGACAAAACCTTCAGGGTGTTCTTCTTCTAATATCCTGATGCATGCTCAATAATCCAGGTATAAAAATCTAAAAAAGTTAAATCTGGTCCTCCGGACATTCAAAAAAACCAAAACAAAGCAAAACAACAAAAATGTAGAAACGTTTCGTCTCTCGTCCGAGAGACTTCCTCAGTCTGAGGTGCTGTATTCAGCTCAGTCTCTTAAATAGCACCTTCTCAGAGTGGATTAACCAGTTTTGCTGCTGACAACCAAAACCAGCTGATCACATGCTCAAGAAGGACCATCAGCCTAACAATGGATCATTAGCACACTGATGGCTGTTTACTACTCACAGAGGGCTGAGTGATACTAGCAATCACAGCATTGTAAGAGGGGGACAGTTGAACCCGGAGGCTCCACCCCTGTTTAATGATGGACGATTTCTTTTCACAAAGATGGCCTCCTTTACTCCTCTCTCAAACCATCGTTCCTCTCTGTCCAGGATGTGAACATCTTCATCCCTGAAAGAGTGACCGCTGGCCTGGAGATGAGTGTAGACCGCAGAATCTTGGCCTGATGATGTTGATCTTCTGTGCTGGGCCATCCTTTTGGCAAGTGGCTGTTTTGTTTCCCCGATGTAAGACTGATCACCCTCCTGACACTGAACAACATACACAACATTACTCTGTTTGTGCCGGGGGACTGGATCTTTCGGATGAACCAGTCTTTAATGTATTTTGGGGTTTAAAAGCCACTGGGACGTTATGTTTAGAAAATAAACGTCTCAGTTTCTCTGATACTCCCTCAACATATGGAATGACCACTGGT